ATATTTTACAGGTTTTATTTAATATTACTGGACCGACATGTTATCTCAAACCTGTTTTAGTGGTCTTATTTTTTTTTTAAAACAACATTGCTGCTTGAATACGGAGAAGCAATGTGTGTCCATTAAAACCAGTGGTGAAAGAAATACTGAATTTTACTTTGGTTAAAGTACCGATACTAAAAGGAAAAGTCCTGAATTCAAACGTAAGTAAAAGTAATAGAGTACTGCCATCGAAATATATTTTGTGTAATAGTCCATGTCAGCATTATATGAAATAACTGGATTATTATCCACTGTGCCCTAATTTTTGCAAAAAAGCTGGTAAATGTAGAGCTAATTTGATATACATTATATACTGCTATTGATATAATAACCTATAATACTATATCATCATTTATCAGTTTATTTACATTTTGTTTTGCTTATAATAAGAATCTGTCGAGGCACTAAAGCTGTAGAATAAAAAGGATAATATTGGCTTCCAAAATGTAGTGGAGTAGAAGTATAAAGTAGCCTGAATGTACTTAAGAACAATATTTGAGTAAATATACTTTACTAAATGACACAGCTGATCATGACGAAGATGAAGGTGGTGGTGTCAGCAGGCTCAGAAACTCAGAAGCCCCTCGAGGAGACTGGGAAGGATTCTCTCCCTCTCTGCTATCTGTGATAAGGCTGGGATAAACCTAATCTCAGCATCATAAGTGTACCGTTATCTGGTGAAGTAAAGGCCTTTACAGTGCTGTGCGTGTTTGTGTGTGTGTGTGTGTGTGTGTGTGTGTGTGTGTGTGTGTGTGTGTGTGTGTGTGTGTGTGTGTGTGTGTGTGTGTGTGTGTGTGTGTGTGTGTGTGTGTGTGTGTGTGTGTGTGTGTGTGTGTGTGTGTGTGTGCGTTGGCACTCAAGTGTGTAAAATCATGGCATACATTCCTCCAGCACTTTGCAGCCCTGTTACAGCAGAGCAGCGATGGGCCTTGTTCCAACAGCAACACAGCCTTACAGTTTACATCCGAGCCGTGTGTCTCGGTCAGGAGTGAGAAGCATGTTTACAGATAATGAAAACACATAATGGGGAAAGACAGGAGCAGTCTGGATGTGCTGTGTATATATAAATTGTTTATTATCATGAGACATTTTAAAAGCTCACGGCTGATGTTTTGTTTTCATTGAGTAGTAAACACGTAAACTAACATGCTTTAATTACATTATGATAGGTTAATTATACTGTAGGTATGTGATATTTCTTTGGGTTATTCTTATTTTTTAGGGTAATAATAAACCAAATAAGCCTTGTTATATTACATTGTTATATCACAACTATGATACAGTTACAACCTTATTGTTTATTTTTCACACACGCAACTAAACTATTTTTGGAAATAGTTGCTTACGCTGAGATTAATGCTCTAAATGCATTATATAGTACATTAAGTACACATTTGTGCATGAATAGAGAAGTTGATTGTTAAGTAGGCTTAAAGAGTCAATACAAAAATAATGAGAAATCTATTGTAAAGAAAGAATGCCATCATGGTTTACTGGATTGAATTGAGTAATGACTTTTTATAGAATAATTTTACATGTAAAGGAACAAGGTCCAGATGGAAATAAGATGGTTTAAAGTGTATTTGAAAAATGTCCCCCATCTAACATCAGTTTTTCCCTGCGCTGCCCAACAGAACAATACGTGAAGCAGTATTGGTACTACCACTATTAGATTACATACATTACATGTTACTTGTTAGACGCTTTTTATCCAAAGCGACTTACATACTCAATATGTGGGCAATCCCCACAGGAGCAATTAGGGGTGAAGTGTCTTCAGGGACACAACGACATGCTGACTGCAGTGGGGTTTGAACCTGTGCTCCCCGGATCCGAACACCAACACACTAGTCCACTACGCCACACGCCTCCCACACCCACTATTAACAATAAACTTTGCTAAATGGCTTTATATGGAATTCAAAACAACAATTCAGTGTTTTTCATAAACAATCACTTCATATATTAGCAACAGATGTGACAGAAACATGAAGTGGAAAAAAAACACAAGCTCCACTCCTACTGCAGATTCTCACGCATGCTGCACATTGTTTGGCATGTAAACCGTTCCCTCTTTAGAGGAGGCTACTTCAGTCATGAACACACACATGTATTATGGAGAAACAATGACGGATAAATAGTCAATTCAATAGAGAAGCTGCTGAGTGAATGTTGTGTAGCTAAAGCAGTGTGCGGTCCTGGGTCAGCCAGCAGCATGTGAGCGTTAATAAGGGGGGTAATTGAATTAGAGGATCAGTGGAGGCCTGTAGTGTGGGCGCCACATGGCTCTAATTTCATTACAACTGATGTAAACATGAGGTTGGCCCCCAGCACAGGGGCCTCCCACATCAATACATGCACAACTCGCACACACGCATAAAAATACAAGGCTCACATATAAAAATAAAATTACAAAACATCAAATCTACACCTGCTCGTCTCAAGTGATATCTTTTCCCAGCATGCAGATGTTTCAGCCTGTGTGTTCGTGAGGGTTGTGAGCTTTCACTAATGAAGTAATAAAGGTGAATCAGGGGGGAAATCAGTATTATGTGGCACGAGAAAAGCAGGAACACAGCATCAGCTATTCAGAATGTCATTAAATCTTGTGCAGCACAGGCTCTCTGGTTAGCGCTGTTGTCTCATAGCAAGAAGATCGATTCTCAGCCCTTTCTGTGTGCTGTTTATGTTATCTAAATATGAATAAAGAAATGATAAATCTGGCATTTATGGTTGTGTAGGCGAGAGTACATGACACATTAAGAGGACGCTAGGGAATATTTTTACTTCGGTTTGTTTGGAAGAACATGATGGGTTCCCACAGCCTATGATATCCATCCTGCCAAGTGACTGTGGCTTTTTTTTTTTCTCAATTTGCGTGATGCATATTTATGATCAGCACTCGAATGTGCCTTGGCCTGATGATTCACTTGACCATCAGACGGAGCACAGCCCAGTAAATCCGTAGGCCTGTGATGAATAGTTATGAGGGCAGGAGTTAACCAAAGAGACCGAAGACAAACTGCTTCTTTTTTCTGCCACTTTCCTTGATCTCAAAAACTCCTGCAGGTAATCCCTTAAAAAGAGTTATGTAAACGTCCTCTTTTGCAGAATATCAACTATCATTCCACATCTTAAATTCCCTTTACAAATCTCCATGCCGAAAAGAGGACAAGCAACAGCAGTGAAAGAAAGAAGGCTAAACAAACTCTGTTGCAAAGTAAAAAAAAACACCACTTCTGTCAGGATTGCTCACAGGAAAACACCCATGCTGTGTAATACAAGAAGCTGTAACGGCTGCAGACAGCTTGTGTACACGGGGAAGATACCTTTACCAAAGTGCGTCTGCGGTTTGTTGATTGCATCTCCTTCATGAGATAACAGAGCTGCAGGCTAATGGAGCTTGCTGAAGAAGTGCCTCATGCTCTGTCAGTTTTTCATTACCACTTCACTCAGTCTTAGGTAGGATCGTTCAGTATTGATAATTGCTGACGCAATGCCAAACTTTCACCATCCATAATCGGCTGTTTTTCCTCTTCAGGGAAGTAAAAACACCATCTCCAACCCACTCACCCGCCACCTCACCAACACTCCTGTTCCTCCTAGTCGCTTTCTCTGTTGACTGAGCGATGAAAAACACTTGCTTAATGACATGATAGCATGCAAAATTACTTCAAAAGCAGTCGTTTCTCAGCAACCACCACAGGTAAGAGGGAAGAGCTTTTGTGTGACCAGATCTTTTTCAAGGATGGTATAATTATCTGAAGATTTACAACTGAATGAAGGCAACAACTGCCAAGTAACACCATAAACTACTAAACAACATTCTGTCTGTAAATGAAATATCCCTTACACAGAAATGTCGCAGGATCTTTCGATAGTTTTATAAATGTGTGGTTGCATGGATTCTGCTGCTGCACATGACTGAAATGGCAGGCGAGAGTATAAATATAAAGTTCACACCACCCTCATTATGAGAACCATTATAGTGAGCGGTGCTAACCTCGCACCCCTATAGACTACAGCTGGCGGACTTTAACTAGAAGGCCATGCTCTCAGTATGTGAGACAAGAAGCTTTGAGGGTTGAGGAAGGAGGCAGAACATTGTGTGTACGTTTGCACTATATATCCAAATCGGAAACTAGGGAACGATAATGCAGACAGCACTTTTGATCATTTCTTCTGTCACAGCTACTACCAATAACATGTATCTCTCCTCAGATCCTTAGGAAATGTAAATTCAAATGATTAAGATTCAAGAAAAAGCTTCTAATAACAAAGCTTCAGTTTAGGTTCAGACTAAATATGTCACTCATATCGTCGCCTCCGTGACAACAAGAGTCTGGTGAGTGCTCAGGAGACACAGACCCCCCCAGCAAGCACACATACACGACTCATCTCCTTTGCGCAAGTACCACACTAAGGTTTAATCGATGCAGCTCATTCATATTGAACCACAGACGTCAGGGGAAGCCGGGGGAATTACTAGCAGCCTTCGCTGTGAGATCGCAGCAGAGGAAGCTTGAGGAAGAAGAAGCAAGCTTCACTATGGATCTAACGTTTACTTTCCAACAACATGGCTACTTGGTCTCTTCAAACCACAGGAAATGAAAAAGAACATGTAAAACAGTACTCTAAACAAAGGTATCACAAAAACACAGAACGTCATTTTTTTATTATCAAGCATCCACTTAGCTATGAGAAAATTAACCATTTGGCCTCAGTAGAAGCGTTTATCCAGTGTTAACACAAACATAGCTCATTTGAAAATTAAAACAACAACTGGAGGGAAAATAACTCATGCTTCAAAAGTTCACAATCCAAAGCAGAGAGAGGGGAACATGAACTGCAGACAGTCGCTTTAAGCAAATGCCTCCACACTCTTCAACTGCCTCTAATGGACCATGCCCAGCCCAGCATCAACAAGCCTTTATCTCCCTTTCACTCAGAGAACTCACCAGTAACTGCTGCTTTAGCCTTTGGTGGCTAAGGGTCTCCGGGTCGAGTCGTCGGGGTCCGCTGTTGTTCTCTAGAAGACGAAAGCTGTCCAAATGCTGCAAACGTGGGAGCTGGAGCGGCAAAACTTCATTTCTCAGCTGTGGAGGAAACAGAAAATGGTTAGTTATCAGCATCCCAATGACCATTTTACAGTTTAATTGAGCAGTTTTTTGACAACTTATTCCAAATATCCCTTCACCCCTGCTAGTCCCACTGGTGATGAAATCTGCTAGCACTTTCTCTGAGTGCTGCTCAGAGCCAGCAGGGGGTCTAAGTGGAAAAACAGCTAACAGCTACACTCATGCAGTGCATACAGTGTGCTCTCTCTTCATTGATCTTCACAATCTCATTCTGACAATAGAAGGAATTTACTTGACTACCTGGCCACCTGCTGCTGTCAGCACACATTCGACAAAGTCTAGTTTAGTTTATTTTCATATCACGCTTGATATAAAAAAAAAAAGAGTTTTTAATAATGGTGTGAAATCAAATCCTGGTGGACTGTGCATGTCACACAAGACATCACGTGATTGGTTTGATGGGGGACTTAATTGTATTATATCAGTCATCCAGTAGTTAAACCCAGCTCTGTCTACTCCCATCCCAAAATCTGCAAACAACCAAGCAACATGTTGGCCGAGTGTATCAATGAAAAAAACACTTAAGCACTCGTTCAACCAGATACTTACAAACCCACACCCAGGTATAAGATGCCAACAAGGTAAAATAACATCCTCTCTCCATGTATAACCACTTAGCCAGCAATGCTGATAGCACTACCTAAACCGCTTGTTATTGCCAAGCTAGTGGAGCTGGCTGGAAATAATAATGCCCCCTATTAAATTATTCATGCCTCCAGTCAGGTGGAACCAGATGCTGCTTTTGTGTCATAGAGGGAGAGCTGTAACTCGACTCAAGCATGGAAGGCCATCGCTGCATGGAGGTAAAGACTTCATAGAACAAGCATGTATGCTACCGGGCTACAAACAAAACATAGGATGTCATGACACCAGGCTGGCTGTTTTCATGTGACATTTTATGCCTGTGTTCAGAAGGACGATGGTTCAGTAGGTTAGTCCTAAGGGGGGCGAAGCCTGAGGTGCCTCTCGCAGTTCACCAACCCTGTGTTGGTGTCGCTGTAGCCCACTCTGACATGTGTTGCCATGGCCAGAAGATGACCTTTTCTGTCCATGCCATGCTTTGGTGCTGAATACTAATGCTATGGTGCTGTGTGCCCGCCCCTCATGGGAACAAGCAGGGCTATTTTTAGCCACATGTCCCCAGCTGCACATCTCCAACCCGGGGCCAATGGGCAATTAGTGTTTGTTTCTAATGGCAGGACGCAGTGCCGTAACCTCCCAAACTCAAGCAGACATCTGGACAAACACTGTTCCTGTCCTGCCTTGTAACCCTGCCCCAAGGCACGGCTCCTAAAGCCATGTCGTCCCTTCATCAACCTGAAACTCTCCAACATCAGCTGCCATCCACTATGGAAACAATGTGACTTATTTACAAACTCATGTATTGAATTTGTTATAATATCAAAAGATATGCTCAAAGATTGCAGGTCACTTGAGAACCTATGAATCAGCCTAGCAAAAAAAGATATTGAGGGTTGCCCACAACATTGTCTATGACCCAGACTGTGTCCTGACCAGCGAACATGATCCTTTATCATCAAATTGGGGCCCACCAATTAATATGGTTTGGTTAGACCTAAGCACTCTTTGGTGCATCAGTCAATCCTAAAATGAAGTTAAACCCCATATCAAATGTAGTGTGGTGACCACTTATTTAACCACTGGGACATAATTCAAACTTGGAACTACAGTTGCGGTTATTGTTCCCACACGGACATGTTATGGGTTACCTATAAATAGTGTGTACCCTCTTGGCTCTCTCTTGTCGACCCGGGCTGCGACCCGACAACATGTCCTTTGCAGCTTGTGAATAAATCACTATTCTTGCACCTTCCTTGCACCGCCTCTGACTCCATATCTCTCGGCACTACACTGGTGACCCTGATACGTCTTGAGAAGTTTCCGGGACGGAGCCGAACACGGCAAAAGGAACTCGAGTTCCTTTCTCGAAATGCCGGGGTTTGATTGGAGACGTCCGTGGCTGCCACCGGCACGCGGACTGAGGCTCGGTGCGCGCTCCGCAGAAGGCTGGAGACGTTGCTCGCCGTTCCCGCATCGGCTTTCTATCCAACGGGGGGACGATGCACGACCTGCTGGGTCGACCAGCAACCCCATTGCTATCTCATGGGTTTGTTCTTCGGGGCGTGCGGCTGCACGTCCCGGCTGCTAACCACGTGGGGCTAACGACGGCTGGCAGCTACCCATGGCTGGCAGCTAGCGGCTAACCACGTGGGGCTAACGACGGCTAGTGCTAACGGCTATCAGCCCTTTTGAGTTTTTTTTTTTCTGGTGCCGGAGAGAAGGTTCGACCAGCCGGTTGACCTCATGTGGACACTCTCACATTTTTCACCACCTCCACGGCGGTTCCAGACGCCACTCACGTTTTCATCGACGCCTGGGTGGCGCACTCCTGGACCCCCTCTCGCCTCGACAGTTCCGGACGTCGCCCATGCTCCATCGGCCCATGGGTGGCGCGCTCCGGGACCCTGTCTGGCCTCTCCTGCTTCCCGGGGATGCCTCATCGCCTGCTGAGGACTTCATGCCCGCCGCCGCGGCACGTCTGCCTGCGGCCGGGTTGCTCTCCTGCTTCCCGGGGATACCTCGACACCTGCCGAGGACTTCGTGCCCGCCGCCGTTGCACGTCTGCCTGCGGCCGGGTTGCGCTCCTTCCTCCCGGGGGGACTGCTCCTCTCTTCCGGGGATACCTCGACGCCTGCCGAGGACTTCGTGCCCGCCGCCGTTGTGCGTCTGCCTGCGGCCGGGTTGCGCTCTTTCCTGCTGGGTTCTCCGCAACACCTACTGCGGCCCCCTTACGACGGCCCGCCCCCGGTGTGGGTGCCCTCGCCCTCGTTAGGGCCCCTGCCCTCTCCTGCGGCCCCCTTTCGTGGCCCGTTCCATGGCCCGGTCCTCACCTGCGGCCCCACCCTCCTCGGCCCTTGTGGTGCTTCCTCCACGGACGTGGGGATATTATTATTTTTTGCCATGTTTGAATTCTGGGGGGGCTTGTGTGGTAACCACCTATTTAACCACTGGGACATAATTCAAACTTGGAACTACAGTTGCGGTTATTGTTCCCACACGGACATGTTATGGGTTACCTATAAATAGTGTGTACCCTCTTGGCTGTCTCTTGTCGACCCGGGCTGCGACCCGACAACATGTCCTTTGCAGCTTGTGAATAAATCACTATTCTTGCACCTTCCTTGCACCGCCTCTGACTCCATATCTCTCGGCACTACAGTAGCAGCATTTGGGTAGTCCATGCCTACTTATTTGTCAAAGGGGCCATTGATTTTAATGTTCCAATTACTGTATCTCAGAACACTACATGGAGTTGGACATAGAATTACAACTAATGCTGTCAAAATTATCGCGTTAACGGCGGTAATTAATTTTTTGAATTAATTGCATTAAAATATTTAACGCATTTAACGCATGTGCAGAATGGCCCGCCCCATACATCCCACCAGTGGCAGCGCCAGGGTATGGCTGGGGTAGGCTACACCCATACCAAGAAATGGCTTAGCACCACCATGAAAAATTATGTTAAAGTAAGCAAAATAAAGTCCGCCAACTCGCGCCGAGAATTGCACAGACAGCAGTTAGTAAGATTGATTTCAGTAGCCACTTGTCTGGAAATACCGAAGACCTGAAACGGTTTTGAAAACTTTTGTCACGTAGTGATCGTCTTCTCAAGAGAACATCTTTGATAATGTCTTCTGGCCAATCAGAATCAAGATAACGGCGTGGTGTTGTTGCAGGAAGTCCCGACGGAGAATACTTTTGCTGTAGTACAGGTAACACATAACTGGTACGCAGCAGGTTATGTGCGTAATCTGAAATGCGTACCGTCACTTGTGTCACAAAGCGCATTTGCGTACCGACGTACTTGTGAAGCTTTTCCAGAAGGCGGTTAGATCACCGGACGACAGAGTCGGTCTCCGTGTGCACAGACAGGGCTGCTGTTAACGTCGGTCTGTACAACGGAATTGTGCCAAAACTACGCCAACCGGCTGAGGAGGGAGACTCCCCCCCTTCACTGGAGAACTGCGCTAAAACAGCTGATCACAACGTTCACACTCTGTGGTCACGAAGTACTCCACTAGCCCCCCCGTCGACTTTCCTGAAGTACTCCCCCGTTGATAGAAATCAACACGTAATGAATTAAGACCCCACGGTTTGATGATTGATAGGTGCTCTCTTTCATTTTGACACACAGAAAAATGTTACAATAAACATGTTAAATGGATATATCTTTCATTTATCTTTCCATTCCCACAACAATATATATAAAGAAATGGCATATTTTGGACATAGTTCGAATGGTGATTAATCATGATTAATTAATTTTTAAGCTGTGATTAATCTGATTAAAAATGTTAATCGTTTGACAGCCCTAATTACAACTAAACATTATTGCAGGGAAGCGACCTGTGGCAGCACCCACCTGTTGCTCAAAGTGACCATGCCCCTGATCACTTGTAACTTTAAGCCTTGACTTAATAAAAGTTCACCATCCAACGGTTGTAATATTTAGGGTGAACAATTAGTAATAGAGAAAAAAACACATGTTGTGTAAAGCTGAAAAACATGTTATATAGTTGAGTATTTTAACATGGGTATATGGAAATTGACTCGATTTTTGAGCCAGCCTCAAGTTCAATGAACTGCAATTTTGTTGTACTTCGGCAGATACACTTTTACCGCTCAGACCTGCTGGTTGCAGCTTGGGTGTCAGATTTTGTCAGTTACAGATTTTCTCTTTAATAAAAAATACATCAAATCTTCTAAATAGTTACATGTCAATTTATTTAGTCAATGGTATATGTATAAGTATAATTATTTAGGACTACCATTTTTGAGAAGTAACCAGTACTCAAGTTGAGGGGGGATGAGGGGGGATGGCATCCCCCCTGAAATCAAAACGGTCAAAATCATCCCCCTTCTAAAACTGCCAT